CTTATTCTACTGAGCCATCTCCCCAGCCCCCTAGAACTTTTTAAATCATAGGCCACATCTGTCTTGTTCATCTTATTTATCTGCAGTATCTAATAATGATGTGAATTTGACCCTCCTCCAATCAGTAAATGATAACAGCATGCCATTCTGCGCTTCAATCATGTTCATTTAAGCCTCTAGGCATCTGTACTATATAGACAGTGCTATCAGAATAAAAAGTGCAAAATGAATACTGGAGGATTCTTAAGCATTTTCTCTTTTAATAAAGATGTTTAAACATAAGTATGTTTAAACCAGTTAAGTTCAGTTTGCCTAAAACAACATTTATAAAATAGAAGTGATAATTCAAATAATGTTCAAAACTATGCTTTCTCATTTAGAAACATTTGCAGAGCCGTCTCTGCAAGCTACACAGATGAAGTTGAAACGAGCTCGACTGGCTGATGATCTAAATGAAAAGATTGCTCAAAGACCAGGTCCTATGGAGCTGGTGGAGAAGAATATCCTTCCTGTGGACTCCAGTGTTAAGGAAGCAATTATAGGCAAGAGTAAAAATTTACTCTTTTCTGGGAGAAAAAAACTTAGATATTTTAGATGCAATTAATTAATGGGCAACACCAATCGTGAGTGTTGTTTTCCAGGTTAATTAGAAATTGATTAACATAGTAATTATTACTATTTTATTATGCTTTAGAATATCTGCTACCAATGAACAGATTCTGATTTTATGTGTGAGGTTTTAAGTTTAGCGTTTTGATTTCATTATCACATTTTCTAGGTTAAATTACAATATTGTGCTGTTTAGTTTCTGTTTAATATTTTTACAGACTTTTCAACTTTTCTGTTTTCTTCTAGAAAGATGAATAGTTTATTCAACATTAGTGCGGGAAGGGGAATAATAGATGAATACATATTCTTTATAAAGGTAGTATGTGTTCATCTCATGCTGGTTTCATCATACTTAGTTACTGATGAGTATCTCTTTTTATTCCCTGCCCCTTGGTGCTGGCAATTGAACCATGGGCCTATGCATGCTAAGCACACTCTCTGCACCCTGAGCTACACCTACAGCCCACTGTTTCTCATTTTATTTCTCACATAAGTTTTACCAGAGAAAAAAATCATTTCAGGAATGTTGCTACAAGCAAGCAGTTTTGAAAAGTTATTATCCTTTATTTTTCTTTACTCTTGGGAACATCATATTTTGCCTTAGTTGAAATTTAAAGCTTAGGCAATTTGTAGCCATGAAACCTAAGTCATACAGTCAACTATAATTCCTTTCAGTTTGGGTGATTTCTGCCCAAAGGTAAGAGTGAATCCATCTGGGCCCTTACTTGAATTGGGAACTTATCAACAGACACTCAATGATACACTATCTCTAGTGCTTCATGTTTTTTAATATTAGGATTCTGGGTAGTCCAAGCAACTTGGCAGAAGCGATTTGTCTCTTAAATCTTAATCTGCTGGGCCTGATACCACCTGTATTCCCAACACTTGGGAGGCTGAGGCAGGAGGATCACTATGAATTCCAGACCAGCCTGAGCTACATAATGAACTCCAGCCTGAACTATACAGTGAAACCCTGTCTCGCAAAAGAAAAAAAAGTTGTGTTTTTTTAAAAAAACTAATCTGTTGGGTATGTTTTACTCCCTCTGTTTTTTTATTAGTACTTATTTGCTGACCACACAGGTTTGTATTATCCTCTTGCATGTCCAACATTTTGGATTTTACTGGTTGCATTTACGTTCCAGATATTGCTAAAACTGTAACCATCTCCTGTACTTCCTGCAAGTAGCAGTTAGGTCCAAAAACTTGATATGATCCCCATTTTCTCATAGGTACTGAATGGTCTGTGCTTTCATTGAAAGTGTGCTATATTCAATTTTATTTTAATGTAATACATGTAGATATTAGTAAAGAAAATATAAAATACTCTTCTTAAATTGATAAAAAGTAAAACAAAATTTTGTACCAGAATAATTACAAAATAAAGGGGCCGGGGAGATGGCTCAGTAGAATAAGCGCTTCCCTGGCAAGCGCAAGGGCCTAAGTTCACTCCCCAGTTCCAGAAAAAAAAAAAAAAAAGTTTTATACAGTGTATCATAGTCATAAAAGAATGGGTAAAATGTTATTCAGAATACAAGTCAGAGACAAAAAACACTCACAAAATATCTTATGGGGAGCAGTATTTCTCCTTTTTCATATTAAGTTTGGTATTCCAGAGCCAGCATAAATTAATAGTTGTTTCTTTCTCCAGGTGTTAGGAAGGAAAACTATCCCCACACTCAGGGCGATTTCTCATTTGATGAAGACAGCAGTGACGCTTTGTCTCCAGACCAGCCCGCAAGCCAGGAGTCTCAGGGGTCAGTGGCATCCCCAAGTGAGCCAAAAGTTAGTGAATCGCCATCTCCTGTGACAACAAACACTCCATCCCAGGTATTGTCTTTCTGGGTTTGATCTCTAGTAGAAAAAATGCTCTCTTTAAAATATTCTATAGCAAGCTATACATTTTCACTAAGAAAAATATCCATAAGTGCTGAAAAACAGGATTGTTGGTTGTTGGTTTTTTTAACCTGTGTTAAAAGTGTTAAGTTTTAACACTTTTAAAATTTTTCAGTACATTCTTACATATTATTTATGCCTTTATGTACACGTTTTTATTTTAGGCTTAATTTTTACAAAATCTTCACACAACTTTTTTGATGCATTGTTTTATGTATCACAAAAATTTGTCTTTTTTCTACCATTCAACTTTATTTATTCATTTTTAATTATTTGGTACAGGGTCTCACAACACAGTTCAGACTCATAGTGATCCTTCTGTTTTTAGCCTCTCCAACACTAGGATTATAGGCATGTGCCACCACGCCCGGACTCAGTGGCCAGCTCAGCTCAGTGTGCCCAGGGTGAGACCAGGATGTCATGTGGTGCCGGGGATCAGACTCCAGTCCCTGTGCTTACCTAAGCAGGCGCTTAGTCCACTGAGTTATCTCACTGGCCCAATCCAACCATTTTTAAGTATAGACATTTCTTATTTAAGGCCTGACCAAGTTCCTACAACTCAAGTTGTTAAGTGAATTAATTGCTAAATGAGAAATTACATATAGTATGTACCATATTCAGAACAAAGAAATTAGTCAAAGTAAACTCCACGTTGATAACTTTGCTTTTATTTATATAATTCTTATGTGCAGTACTATAACATATAATAGAACATGAAACTACTGTACTACACAGTACAATAAGCAAATAATGGTGCTATATAAACAAAGTATTCTGTACCAAAAAAAGGACATTGAGGCTCTACAAACAGGATGTATGGGGCCAGGGAGATAACTCAGTAGAATAAGAGCTTGCCTGGCAAAACACAAGGCTCTGAGTTCAATCCCCGATACCACAAAAAAATAAACAGGATGTATGAAATGTACCAAAAAAAAAAATGTCACATGCCACATGAATGAATTTTGACTCCACACTAAGTAAAATAAGCCAGTCCCAATTAAAAAAAAAAAAATACAAATGATTATAGTCCAAACATCATTAACCAGGTAAGTCACTAGATGAGGACTATCTGCATAATTCAGTAGTGGTAAGTATGGTTCACATTGTTGTGCAGCAGATCTCCATAGCTTTCTCAGCTAGAAAAGTGAACTTCAGTATCCATTAAACAGCTCTTCCATTCCTCCATCTCTCCTGTACAGTCTTTCTACTTTCTGTCTCTATAGACTTGACTTCTCTAAATACTTCATGAAAGTGAAATTTTATGTTTGTTTTTTTTTATAATTGTGACTGGCTTGCTTTACTTAGTGTGGTGTCAAAATTCATTCATGTAGCATATGACAGGATCTCCTTTTTAAAACCAAATAGTATTCCATGAGTGTGTATATGTGTATACATATGTCTAAATATATTTTGTTTATTCATCCTTCAGTGGATAGTTGTATAGCTTCCACATCTTAGCTTTATTGAATAATGGCACTATGAACATGGATATGCAAATATTTACTTCCAGGTTTTTAAAAAATATATATTCAGAAGGATTTTTTTTTGGGGGGGCAGGCTCCAAATGCCTTCAGGGCAGATTTGTCTGGCTTGAGTTGTGGGGATCAAACCACAGCAACCTGAGCCTGACTGCTTTGTTGAAGCAGCCACTTAAAGAACTGAGCTGGGCTGGAGAGATGGCTCAGTGGTCTAAAGCACCTACTTGAAACAAGCTTGGCAAAGCACAGGGACCGCGGTTCGATCCCCCAGCACCACATGCCAGCCAGCCCTGCCCCCTGGTGGGCTGAGCTGGCCACACACACACAATAAATAAATGTAATAAATAAAAAAATAATAAATAATTTTTTTTAAAAAAGAGTTAATAAAAAAAAAAAAAAGAACTGAGCTAAGGGGCAGGCCGCCCTAAAAAATATATTCAAAAGTAGAATGACCAGATCATATATTTTGGGTTTAATTTGCTTTAATTTTGTGTTTGCAGTACTAAGAATTGACCCAAGGTCTTGGGCATGCAAGTCAACTCCTCTACCACTGAGCCACATGCCTAGAGCTTCTTATTGTGAAACAAGGTCTTGCTAAATTACCCAAGCAGTCTTCAAATTTGTAGTCTTTCTGCCTCAGCCTCCCAAGTAGCTGGGATTACAAGTACGTGCCACTGTGCCTGACCTACTTTTAATTTTTTTGAGGAACTGCCATTCTCCATAGCAGTTCTACCATTTTACAATCCATATAACAGTGTACATGGGTTCAAATTTTCCCCTCCTCAGTCTTCCCAACAATGGTTATTTCAATTCTCTCAGTAGTAACCATTCTTAGGGTAATAATACCTTATTATGGCTTTGATTTGAATTCATCTAGTTGGATTAGTGGTTAAAAAAACACCTTTTCATATGCTTTTTGATCATTTGTATGTCATCTTTGAACAAATTTCTTTTCAAGCCCTTTTCCCCATTTAAAGTCAGATTATTATTGGCTAAATTACAGAAGTACTCTTTGTATACTCTGGATATTGACCCTTTGTCAGATATACAGTTTTATATGATGTTAAATATTCTACCTATGTAGATATGAGATGTTTTTTCCATTCTATGGATTGCCTTTTCAGTCTTTGGTTGTATTCTTTAATATAGTTTTGATGTTTGATAAGGTCACATTTATCTTGTTATCATCCTTGTTCTTAGTGTCACATCCAAAAAATCATTGCCAAATCTAATGTCATTAAGCTTTCCCCTATGTGTTCTTCCAGTAGTTTTATAGTTTTAGGTCTTAGGTTTATATACAGTTTGAGTTAATTTTATATTTTGTATGAGATAAAAGTTCAGCTTTTAAAAATGCTTTTTGTGTGTGGATCTCCATTTTTCCAAGCTATATTTTGTTTGGTTGGTTTTTGGGATTTTTTGGTACTAGGAATTGAACTCAAGACCACGCACTTGCCAGGCAGGTGCTGTGCTGCTGAGCTATATATATATATATCTCCCTCACTCCAAGCTGTGTTTTGGTAAAGAGACTTCCCTTCCCTACTGAGTGGTCCTCGGGGGCCTGCCCTTAGCTCAGTTGTTTAAGCTCCTGCTCATGCAGAGGCAGTTGGGAGCAGGATACCACAGTTCTATCCCCAGCTCCACCTGACTTACCAGACCCGCCCTTCAGGCGGCCTGAGCCACAAAAAAAAAAAAAATCCTATTGAGTGGTCCTAACCATTTATTGAAGTCTTTGTATGTAATGGTTAATTCCTGAGCTCTCTGTTCTATTTCATTGATCTATAGGTCTTTCATAATGCCAGTACCACATTCTTTTCTTTGTAATAAGTTTTGAAATGTACTAGTGTCACCTTTGTTCCCCTTTTTCAAAACTGTTGTGACTACTTAAAACTCCTTGAGATTCCATATAATTTTAGTATAGGTTTTTGTATATCTGGAAAAATTTGCTCTTTTAAGGCATACAATTGAATAGGTTTTAGTATATTCACAGAGTTGTGCAGTTATCACTACTGTCAAATGCTGAAATATTTTAGTCACCCCTCAAAATAAAACCCCATCTCAATAACAGTTATTCCTCATTGTCCCATCTCTCCAAGCCTGGGCAACCATCAATGTACTTTCTGTATCTATGGATCTGCCTGGTTGGGCAGGGCATATAAATAGAATTATATAACCTATTTTTTGTGACTGCCTACTTTCATTTAACATAATGTTTAGAAGATACATCCATGATATGGACAAGTTTTTATGTGCATATAGGTTTTTATTTTTCTTAAAATTCCACCTAGGAGTCAGATTGCTAAGTCAGGTAGTAATTCTGTATATAACTTGTATTTCTACCTTAATATTCATAAATAGCTTTCTTTATCAACACATATATCAATACCATTTTTTATTGAACTGCTATACCATTTAACTAATTCCCTACTTTTGGTTACCTAGAGCTGTTTCCTGTATTTCACTCTCGGGCACACAGCAGTAAGACCATCATTGTATTCTCAGATGCTTGTTACAAATTATGGGCACTTATTTCTTCAACTACATTGCCAGTTAATAAGAGACTTTTTAGGACAAAGATATGTGCTTAATTACCTTCTAAGGAGATAAACAGATTTCCCAAACCACCATTTTTGCAAAGACATAGTAGCATTACTTTAAACCTTGGAAATTTAAGTATTTGTTTTGCTTTTAATTTGTTCTGCCATGGTAGAATTGAACTCAGAGCTTTGCACATGCTAGGTAATATGCACCTCCAGCCTTGAAGTTTGAATATTTGAATTAGCCTTTTGATTTCAGGTAAGTTTAACTTCATTTGTTTAGCAAATTTTATTGAGCACCAAAATGTGTCAGATTGTATTAACTCAGTCTAGTGCACTCAGAGGGATCTAAGGAAGTTTTGTAATTATGTTGGAAATTCGTGTGTTATTCAATAGGTATTCATATTTCTAGTGGTTTGGTAAGAATTCTTATGCTATATATTATTTGTTGTTCATTGTTCATTAAACTAAAGTCAAAACCTAAACCATGTATTTAAGGATAACTAAGATGATTGCTCAGCTAATTTCTATCAGTTTTTTGAACATAAGTTAATTCTTAAAATTTTTACTTTGATCAATTTTATGTTTATATCTGTAATCTGAGCAACTACACTGAAGACAGCAATGTACAGTATAACAGCCACTGTTGAAGGGGCCAGGGAGATAGCTCAGCGGTAGAAGTACCTGCCTGGCAAGCACAAGATCCTGAGTTTATCCCCAGTACCAAAAATAAACAAAGCCCTAAAAGAATTTTTTTTTTTGAACCGGGGATTGAACTCAGGACCTTGTGCTTGCCAGGGAAGTACTTATTCCACTCAGCCATCTCCCCCGCCCCTCTAAAAGAATTTATAAAAAACGGTTGAATACCTATCATCTTATTTTTTTTATTCTGTATTGTTTCTGATGTCTTATCTTTATTTTT